GGTACATCTCAGTACCTTTAGTCAGGGAGCATAACTGAACCATAATCCACTGAAATGATATGTTCTAAGCTGTACTGACTCCACACACCCCGTCTCGTCTCCAGGCTTTTATTTTACTGTTCTGTTTTAAAACATTCGGTTATGAAAAGGTACAAATACAAACTTTTCACCTGGAAAAACTTATTTAAGGTTTACAATCAGACCTTAAACCACTGTTTTTACATTGTTTGTACCTTGAAGAACGAAAAATATAAAATATAAATCTGCAGGGATATTTTTCCACACCTCCAAAGTTCAGTCTTAGAAGCTGGTTGATCATTTTCTGAAGTAATCAAACACATTCAGTGATGTTGAGCTCTGGACTCTGGGGTGGTCAGTCCATCGTTCTTTGTTTGATGTGTCTGTCTCCTTTTCTCAGTGAGGCTTCTTGACAGCTACACATCCTTTCAGACCCATAGAGTTAAATGAAAGTTGGTCTCTGGCTTTTACAAAGCTCTGTATTTCTATACCTTTTTACTTTTAATACACACTTAAAAAAAAGATCATTCTTTATTAAAGACAATGGTTCTATATAGAACCACAAACACTCAGAGAACCTTTTGCATGATTAAAAGTTTCTTTGCATTGTGAAAGTGTTCTTTAGATCCATGAACAATGTGCTGTAGATGGTTCTATATAGAATCTTTTGGAAAAGGGTTCTATACAGTCCCAAAAGAGTGCTTCCATTGCGAAAACTTGGCATTGTAATAATGCCAGAACCCCCTTTGGTGCTATATAAAACCCTTTTCAAAAAGGTTCTATATAGAACCATCTACGGCACATTGTTCATGGATCAAAAGAACACTTTCACAATGCAAAGAAGCTTTTAATCATGCTAAAGGCTCTTTGAGTGTCCATGGTTCAACTAAATGGTTCAAGGGTTCTTTAGTAAATGCAGTGGTTCTGTTTAGAACCATGAGTTCTTTACAGAACCATTTCATGCTTAAATGCTTCTTTGCATGGTGAAATGGTTCTTCAGATACACGACAAATGTGTTGTGTATGGTTCTATATAGAACCTTTTATAAATGGTTCTATATAGCACCAAAAAGGGTTCTGTTATTGGTTCAATCTCACAGTAACAATAGAGGAACACTTTTTGATGAACACATTCTCCATCAGTCTGAAGAACCATTTGAGCATGAAATGGTTCTATATAGAAGCACTGCCCTCACTAAAGAACCCTTGAAGAACCCTCTTTTTTAAGTGTGCAGATTTAGGATGATTTCACTTGCACAGATTTGAGTAACACTGATCATCAAAAGTTTAAAGAAACAGCGTTTTAAAAGATTTTTTATTATAAATGGTCATGTTTTCTTTGTTGATTTGAAGCAGATGCTGGTCAGTGAAAATCACACACAGTCCAGTTCAGCTCAACTTGGTGTTTGTACTAGAGCTCTGATTTCAAAGTCAGGAAGGAAGGACAAAACAACACTTCACAAAATGGAAAAGTGTACTGGCCGATGGTGACTTTTCAGCGCGGAGTGCGTCTAATTTAAGGGGCTGGACGCATCAGTAGCGAATGCAGCAGCAGCGGTATGGAGCTCACTGTATAAACGCCATAAAAAGGATCTGTGGTCAGTTATAAACCCAGAGAGAAGCTGCTTTTCCACGACTGCTCTGACTATTTTTGGCTGGGGGTCAGACAGATGGTCTGGATGCTCTCAAATAGGCTTTTTCTGGGCTGAGGAGCAGTGGGAGGTGTACAGGGTTGCACAAAGGTTTACCCTCAAAGGAAACCAGGATCTCCCTGGAAAAACAGGAAGAATGACTGACATAGAACTGACTAGTTTGGTTGAACAGCTGCGTTTAGTCGTTTCACTACAGAGAGAGAGAGAGAGAGAGAGAGAGAGAGAGAGAGAGAGAGAGAGAGAGTGAAATAAGGGAGAAGAAAATAGGGAATGACAGAGAAAAAGGAGAGAAAGAGAGGGACAAAAGAAAAGAGCGATAGGGAGAATGAGAGAAAGGGGAAGAGAGGGGAGAGACAGAGAGAGAGACCAAAGGAAAAGACAGAAAGAGGGAGTTAGATAGAGAGAGAGAGAGAGAGAGAGAGAGAGAGAGAGAGAGAGAGAGAGAGAGAGAGAGAGAGAGTAAAAGAAAGAGAGAGTCAGAGAGAGAGACAAAAAGAGAGAAATAGAGAGAGATATAAAGAGAGAACATGAGAGAGAGGAGTAAGACTGAGAGAACGAAACAAGCAGAGAGAGAAAGAGAAAAAAGTGAACAAGAAAAAGAGAGACAGCGAGAAAGGAACAAACATGAAAGTAGTGGAGAGAGAGGGGAAAAAGTGAGGGAAAGAGAGAAAGGGAGTTGGAAATAGATAGATAGATAAATAGGTAGATAGATAGAGAGAGAGAGAGAGAGAGAGAGAGAGAGAGAGAGAGAGAGAAAGGGGGAAAGAGAAAGAAAGAAAGAAAGAAAGAAAGAAAGAAAGAAATAGATAGATAGATAGAGAGAGAGACAGAGAGAGGGAGAGAGAGAGAGAGAGAGAGAGAGAGAGAGAGAAAGGGGAAAGAAAGAGATTTGATTTGATTTGATTTGATTTGATTTGATTTGAAAGAAAGAAAGAAAGAAAGAAAGATAGATAGAGAGAGAGAGAGAGAGAGAGGAGAGAGAGAGAGAGAGAGAGAGAGACTAGTGCATTTCCAGTAGGATCACATAATTATATGAGATTAGAGGACACAGGCGTGCGGTTCAGTGAAGCTTGTCTCGTACAGACACGCGTTGCTATTCCTGTGCACTAAATCCAGCATTAATGACAGTCTGTTTTAGAGCAGCACCAGCAGAGACGGACTGAAATACATCGAACTGTCGTGTCTTGTCATAAAACACACACGGTCTCTGTGGAGATGAAACACAATAAACAGCTGAACCCCTCACGATAACAGACGTGTTTTGGGATTCCTACAGTGTTGATCCTGTAGAGAAAAGGAGGAAGAAGCATCATCATTTTGGATTTTGGTCAATATTTATCACGGAGCTCATTTAGATTTTTAGATTTTGAACTGTGTTATTTGTACTCTGCCTGTTATCTGTCAGCCTGAGCTCTATGTCTTTAACAATCCTCCTGTAAGTCTTTCCAGTCTAATGATCTTCAACAGCATTTCCTCTGAAATCTCTGTCTCAGGTTTGTGTTGTAAAGAGCAGGTAACCAAGACTGTGTTTATAATATAGCAGTGCAAGTCAAAGTGCTTTTTTCCATCAAAGACTTTGACTGTTTAATCTACTTCTGGTCTGGTGTTGACACAGCACTGTGAAGTGCGTGTGCCTTTTGTTAAACAAGACTGACTTTATTTATTATTAAATAAAGTGGTGGGGTGCTGGAGCCTATCCCAGCTGTCACTGGGCAGAAGGTCATATAAAGACATGCTATAGCACTCTGAATAGCTAACTTAAAGTTGAGAGTTTAATAGCTAATCTAAAGTCACAAGCGTTGCTGTAACACTATAAAGAATGATATCTTGCAAATAAAATTATCTTAGATCTCGTCTATACGTCTAGGATTTCTCATTAAAAGATTATTCTCATATCTCATAACTCATTTCTAGACACATTTACTTGTGTCAAACCATTTTATGTAATAAAAATCTTAAATTGGCAGATCATTTAAAAAATAATGAGATGCAAGAATTCCACACTGTAAAACACTGATTGTATCTAAAAGTGAATATCTCTTAAATCTTACCGATAGCATTATGAGATTAGAATAAGAATTTTATAAGACTTTTTAACCTATTACTATATATTTTTACTAATTTTAGGTCATTTCATCTAGTGAAAAGGTCATATATGCTGATGGAATATGATACTTTCACCATATAAAATGACTTAAAAGAAGTAAAAATGCATAGAATTAGGTGAAATAATCTTAAAATATTTTGAAGAATCTCATAATGAGAAACATTAGAAATACTGACTAGTTATTTAAGATCACTTCACTTGCTTAGATATCATTTTTGCAGTGCACTCTTGCTTCAGAGCTGAAAACATCCACAGGTGTTTCTGTCCATCCTTCCACTGTGAGAAGACGACTCAGCGCTGTGGGTCTGAAAGGATGTGTAGCTGTCAAGAAGAACCTCACTGAGAAAAGGAGACGGACACATCAAACAAAGAAGCTCAACAGTGGACTGACCACCACAGAGTCCAGAGCTCAACATCGCTGAATGTGTTTGATTACTTCAGAAAATGATCAACCAGCTTCTAAGACTGAACTTTGGAGGTGTGTCTGCAGATTCCTTGAGAAACTGAAAGTGAGGCTTCTGAAAAGAATGGAAGCTGGAATAAAGGCAGAGTGGACACAACAAATACTGAAAAATATATATTATATTTAGTTGTTTGAAATGAAGAGTGATCTCTGACGTATGTACAGTACTGTATGTCCCAAAGTACACAGGGAATGAGTGAATTCAGCTGCTTAAAGCTGCACCTATTGCTGACATGGGTGTTCAGTTGCCCACACAGAGCTTGTATAATCTCCATAGAAAAGCACTGACCAATAGAGTAAGACACTCTGGAGCAGCAAAACATGAGCCTAAGGTCACTACGCTCAATGCCCAGCGTGGGCTAGAGGGGTATAAACCCCACAGCATTGGGCTGTGGAGCAGTGTTCTCTGGAGTGATGGAGCTCCATCCAATACCTTTGGGTTGAGTTGAAGTGATCCAGAACTGACTATCCAACATCAGCACCTGACCTCACTAATGCTCAATCAAATCCTCACAGCAATGTTCCAACATCTAGTGTAAAGCCTTCCCAGAAGATGAGAGGCTGTTACTGCAGCCAAGGGGGGAAACTCCCTATTAAGACCCCTCATTTCAGCAGAAACTTGTTCCCACCAAATCCCTTAAACAGCTTGTAAATGGTGACTGTCTGAAAAGCCTGTGTTTAGTGTAGCAACCAAGACTGAAGAAACCTGAACTGAAACCGCCGTCGTTGAGGAATGTGCTTCTGCACAGCGATAGACTCACTTGTACAAGTGCTCCTTGTGTTGTTCAGCTGCTGGGTATCCCAGCATCCCACACACCACCCTGCTGCTGCTGAGGTCCCAGCCCAGGTTACACACGTGCCTCCATCTCCCAGCATGCTTCACTTCAACCACCCCTTCTGTTATCATGACGGAGCTTCGGGTGCTGGACAAGACGGGGCGGAGACGAACCTCCTCCAGACTCACCTTCCCTGCAGGCTGCAAGGAGACGAATAGAACGTTTGCATGTCTTTGAAAGTGAGTTTGCATAATCCAACACTTCATTAAATAATTAAAGAAACCTACAAAGAGAACGAGAGAGCAATTACACTGAACGTTTGGGCTCTGAGGAATTTGGAACAATGAAAAAAAACCTTGCAAAAGTTGCGAAATGGTCCTCTCTGCATGTTAAGTCATGATAGGTGGTGAATAGATTGCTGGTAAACACAGTAATTAAAAGTAATTTAATGCTTTCCTAAGAATGAACTGTCAAGTAATAAATTGAATGTAAAAACAAAGCAGGAAAAATAGCTGAAATGTCAGGGGAGCAGTAAACGGTGGTTTGGTAGTAGCTCAGTGACAGCGTTGGGTTACAGTGGCAGTGCGGTATTTTGGCCGGGGGGGGGGTGGTGGGGGTGGGGTGTGGGGGGGTGATGGGTGCAGGACTTTGTAATCCAGCACACTTGGAGGACGTGGTTAAATACCACTGAGAGTCATTATTGACAATCAGGGAGAACTTGAGCTCAATTACACAGCAGTCAATGAACTGAGCTTACGCTGCCAATAAGGAGAACTGGGCCTCTGGGCTCTAGTGATCTGTGATTCATCTAAGCTTCTGTACTTTGACAACACTATGGCTTTAAAGGTTTTTATCATTCAGACAATTGAATTGTGTAGAAATAGTAAGTTGAGGTGACTCTGGGGTCACCCAGGGGTGTCAAACGCAACCACTAAAAGGGCCGTATAAAAATCTCAGCAAATTCATGGGTCAGAGAACATCTGTGTTTTTATTACTATAACCCGAGCTGGCCATTGTTTATTCAAAATATACAACAATGTCAATAGTAAAATATAAGCACTTGTAGTAGACCTTGAAATACAACAGGAATACAGGAATATAGAAAACATTCAAACTTTAAATGCCCTTAGGTGGATTTTTTAAAGTCTTTTAAACCCACCTGTTTGCTTGAACTAGACACCTGGCATTCTGTCTTTGTTGCTAGTTCATTCATTCTTGGGCTTAATTTCTGAGCTGCTGAGCTGACGTTACGTGTACGTTGTATATAATGTATGTATGTAATGTATATAATAGAATATACTGGTTGAACTGCAGCTGAAATGCAGCTAGAGTGTTTGGTGATATGACTGGTGTGGAATTGCATAGAATTGTGTAGAACTGAGGTGTAACCGCTGTCCCATGGACTGTTGTTGGACTAGGAGAATTGGAGTGCACATTATGTTGCAATGCATGCTGGGAACTGTAGTAAATATATATAAGTGTAGTAAATATATTATAAAAATAATAGAAAATTCTATAAAAATGTAATATAGAATTAAAATATTTTGCGTGCTGGATAGGATTGTGTCTTGTAGTTCACACATGGGCTGTAGAGAATGTGTTAACTTATTTAAACTCAGAAAATAAAAAAAACTTATCATCTGACAATGGGTACCCAAACTTTTGCATATGACCATATCACCGCATCCTGTCCCCGCCCTACAGTATGTACTGTCAGCATGTATCCATCATATGATGTTCAGTGCTCTGATCTTCTCACCTGCTCTACAGTGTTGGAGAAGTCCGTGTTCATTCTGTTGTCGTTCTCCAGGTCAGGGTAGGATGGCTCTGGACTGTTTATAGGAGCTGGGGATGACCTCCCGTAGACGGACGGCTGTGAGGTTTGCCGGACCGACTGGGTAGCTGGTCTGGGATGCACATCCTGGTTCTGCCTGTAGCTCACCCTGTTGCGCAGATGATCGGGCAGCAGGTGTCCTCTTGGCATGGCGCTCTCCTGTCTGCGAGAGCCTGAGTTTCTGCGTAGCTGGATCTGATGTCCGGTTAGTTGTGGGGAGGAGGCTGAAGAGGCACGATGGGTGTTGCGGTTCAGGGCTATTTCATGCCCTCTCCTGGAGAGGGAGCTGTCAGGGCTGTTCGAGATGTCGGGTGGCGGTCGGGCCGGAGTGACCGCAGATTGGGCTGGGTCGCTGTATCGGGGAGCGTGGCCCTGTTGTAGACTGTTTGGGCTACACACCACCCCCAGGTCCTCACCGTGAGTGCAGTCACTTACTCCCCAGCCATTAGAGCGACAGTCAGATAATGAGCTTTCAGTGCCCGTACACATGACATTGTCCAGCCAAATTGGACCTACAGCATGGGGACAGTGAGACCATAACAGAGGCATCTTAAAGACATAATATATAATACTTAATAGAGAAAGTGAGACTTAAGTAAGTAGGTCACTTAAGTATGACTAAAAAAGGTTTTGTGAAGTCTGACTGAAGACAAATATGTTATCTCTTAGACAGTGCACCTACCCTAACCTTAAAGGGGAATTCCACCAACATTTCTAAAATTACGCAATATTTTAATAGTTGAGATGTAAACATGCTGAACGAGAAAAACAGCATTAAAAAAGAAAAAAAGAAACAAATAAAATCTTGCAAATGAACAACAGATCTTGCTTTTTTATTTTAGTAAAGAACACACTTAACTAGATTAGCATGACTAAAAGATGACATTAGAAGACAACTGGACTTATTTTAAGAATGTGATTTTTTTTTAATGTTGTTGTTTTATAAAGCCAAATATTTGTGGAAATAAATGCTTAGAATATGTAAAGGTGTCCTTTCCTTCTTTCACAGTGGAGAGCTTAAAAATGTTCAGTTCTCTCAGAAAGTTTCTTAATTCATTTTTAAAATCTGTAAAATTAGCTATATATATATATATATATATATAAGATATTTATAGACAGTTTATAAAAGGCAATTAATCTAATTAAAATATAATTAAGATTAAGATATGCTATTAAAATTAAGATATATTGTTAATTTTCAAATTTTCTGGCTTGTTAAGACTTTTTTTTCATTCAGAGTGCATTAATGTTAGATGTTGCATTGTAAGAAACATCCTGACTCAGATTTCTTTACAGTGGTGGTGAACCAGGGGTCACCATGACTACAACACAAATATAATAATATAAAATATGTTTTACTTTACAAAAGCCTGCATGTAACCCATCTGCCATTAATGGATTTTTAAAAATACAGTTTGGATCAAAGTCTTATCTCAAAACAATCATTTCATGTAGTAACTTTCTGTGAGGGAGCTTTTAGAGGTGGACATCTGGTTCCTATCACCACCACTGTGAACAATTCTGACTCTGTAAGATTCACATCAAACCACTCTGAATGACTTTTTCACATCTTTTTTTTTCATTTCAAAATATTTTAAAAAGTCAGTGGAATTCCTCCTTAACCTCATTCTTACCTACAGGAGCTAATCTTTGGCCTTTTTTGCTTAAAAATATTTTTCTTGAGAAGCCAAAAGTCCCCAAAACATAAAGAAGTCCATGTTTTCCTTCAAGCTGAGGACATTTCACCCCCACAGAAACCTAAACACACAAACATGCACGTGCTATTTGTAGAGAGGAATGAGGGATCAGAACATCCAAAACATCTTTACCTCGACCCTCTCCGAATTTGGCACTGTGTGCCCAGGTGAGGCCTTGTGCGTACCCGAGCTCACGGCACACCACGTTGGCCAGATTGATGTTGACCTCATCATCACATACCGTGCCCCACGCGCCGTTATAGAACACTTCCAGACGGCCCTCATACAGGTGCCTCCCGCCTACCAGGCGCACCTTGAACCCCGGTGGCACCCCGGCGACGACGGGCAGGAGCAGAACGCAGAATGCGAGTGGAAAGGTCAGCATCATCTCTGTCTAAAACACAGAACATGTGGAGACATGAATGGACATGACAAAACTGTAAATTCAGAATGTCAGCAAAGTCTAAGCAAACTGTTCAAAATCTTTTATTTGGGCAGTAAATGTGTTTTTGCCTGTAGTATTAGAATAAACATTATATTAATATAAATATAAAGTTATAATAAATGCAAACAAACATTAAATCAGTAAAAAAGTAACAAGAGATTTCTTGAGATCTTGTGAGATGTTTGATTCACAACTTCTCCTTGGTTCCCTCCAGGGCTTGTTAAAGGGCTCATATCATGGAAATACAAATTGTCCTTGTTTATTTGAAATTAAAAGTTTGATATACTATCTAAATACTGTTAAAACTTCAAAATGCACAGTTCATTCTCCAGTCTGCGCAGTCCATATATTGAAATTTAGCTGAAAAAAACAACTTCCTTATTTTTGTGATGCCACAAAAAACAACTCATTTACATATATTCGCATACTCAGCCTACAGCAGTTTAGCCCTGCCCACTCCTGATGAAGAACCACCGAGTGTACTGATGAAGTAAGAACAGGTTTTTGTTTAAACTGAGTGGCTGACATCTTATTTTCTTAACTATAACTAGGCTGGTCAGCTAGCTAACAGGCTCCAAAATAGCTAACAGCCTTAACAACTCCATCATTGATATCACAGGCTTGAATTAATGTACTTATAAACGGCAATATAAAACACTAAAGAATGTCACTTGAATGTCTTACACGCGTCAAATGTTCGTGTTTCAGTCAGAAGTCGCATCAAACTCAGGCTGAATCCCAAACAGCTCTGTACTCCTTAAATAGTGTTCTAGCTATGAAAGTTTAGAAATTCTAGCCTCTACAGCCAAATAGTGCATACTTTATTGAGTGTGGATGTGTCTGAGTCCCAAACTGCTATTTTTTAGTTATATTATTCACTGTTGAGCTGCAGGATCCAGTATTTCAATTCCTATGTAGTGCACTATGTAGGAAATAGGGAGCTGTTTGAGATTCAGCCCCAGCATGAGAAAAGGGCGCCGTTGGATTGGTGCTAAATAAGACTCACGGTGGTAATTTGGTGACCAAGAAGTACTTATAAAGTGAAAGATTTTGCATTAAACAGTGCTGTGTTATCAAATGTTCATTGTTCTATGACAAATAGTTAAAAAGTTCATAAAATGAGCACAGTATACAGCGATGGGCGACTGAACATTCTCCTCATTCGGTGGTCCATGGTTGCTTGGCAACAACATCATATGCTAAAGGAACTACATTTTCTTGGCAGAATACTTGTTTATGTTGATTATTATTAATAAAAACTTCAATTATTATCTGAAAAAGCATGTATTTTATCATTGGCCGGCGTTTTATAAAAGCAATAAGCCATTAGAGGCTGAGCGTTACTGCGATTTTATCACGGCTTCGCATCATCCCTAAGAACACCCTTCCAGTGATATAAGACATACCTACATATTTGATTAAATCTAATGAAATTCTGACTAAGCCATAGTGGTACTGGATGATAACTACAAATAACAGTGGGCTTCCAGTTTAGAGAAGTTTGGAAAAGGTTACACAAACACACTGACTCCCATTCAATCACCACGCACTGTATCAATGTTATTTGTTATTTCTGTGCTAATAAATGTTTAATTCCAATTAAATAACTTTTTAAATGTAATTCTAAACTTCAGCACACTGTATCTCAAGTCACTCCTGCAGCTAAAATTAAAGTTCATGCTCTCTTATCTAACATCTTGTGTATATCCAACACAATCTGCATTCGTACAGAGTATAACATCACTGCTCTATCTCCCTGATCTTCTTTCCTCTGTTTGTTTCCAGGGCCTTTGGTTAATCTTCCCTACAAACTTGTCTTAGAGAGTTTCTCATTTTGAGTCTTGGTTCCTCTCAGTGATTGTTCCTCATGCTCTTATGGAGTTTCTCATTTTGAGTCTTGGTTCCTCTCAGTGGTTCTTCTTCATGCTCTTAGGGAGTTTCTCATTTTGAGTCTCGGTTCCTCTCAGTGGTTCTTCTTCATGCTCTTATGGAACTTCTCATTTTGAGTCTTGGTTCCTCTCAGTGGTTGTTCCTCATGCTATTAGGGAGTTTCTCATTTTGAGTCTTGGTTCCTCTCAGTAGTTGTTCCTCATGCTCTTAGGTAGTTCCTCATTTTGAGTCTTGGTTCCTCTCAGTAGTTGTTCCTCATGCTCTTAGCTAGTTCCTCATTTTGAGTCTTGGTTCCTCTCAGTGGTTCTTCTTCATGCTCTTATGGAACTTCTCATTTTGAGTCTTGGTTCCTCTCAGTGGTTCTTCCTCATGCTCTTATGGAGCTTCTCATTTTGAGTCTTGGTTCCTCTCAGTGATTGTTCCTATAGCTGAGCTAAAGCTTAAAGCAGAACAAAGTAAGTCTGCATTTTTATTTATATTTCTAGCCTATGCTAGTACATCAGCACGTACTGAGACATATTTACAGCCAAGATGATGAAACGTTACTTCAATAAAATGGACATGAAATGTTGTTTGTTTGCTGAACCTTGACAAAATAGCTCTTCTTAACATTTGGGTTGCTGATCCCTGTTCTGTTGTAACAGTGTCAAGCTTTTAAAAATAGAAGAACACTTTGTGGTGCTATAGAGAACCATTTTCATATATACAGAACCATAAACAACACATATTCCATCAATCTGAAGAACCATTTAAGCGTGATATTTTTTGTGTTCATGTTTCTAGAACAACTGCCTTTACTAAAGAATCCTTGAAAAACATCTTTTTTTTAAGAGTGTATGTTACTTAGTACTTAGGTACTTATTTACACTTAGAAAATCAACTAAACATGTACTTTAACCAGGGTGTTAAAACTTTTGCAAAATCTTATCTTATCTTATCTCTTAAAAACTCACCAAAAATGTAAGCGATTTCAGCTTATGAGGAGGAAATCAGACCTGACTCAGATAAAGTACTGAACATGTAAGTTAGGAGACTTTTGGACTAAACTAAGCTGAGAAAATTAAGATTGACTTAAAATTTCAAGGTGACCTGACTTTCAACTATTTTTACAGTGTAGATGTGTTTCCTGCATTTTCTGTCAGGACGCTGCTCAGCGCTGACTGAGAAGCTGGAATGCTTTTAACAGCAGAAGCTGAAGGCTGTGTGGATGGCGCCCTGCCAGCTGGGCTCTACAGCGTAAGGTGGCAAACAGTGAAACACACCCACAAAACCATAAAACACTCAGGATGCATTTTTCAGCGACTGACTTATAATTAGCAATCCAAATATTTCAGTGGCCTTCCAGAAACCTCCTCAGAGTGAGAATTACAGTGCAAAGATGGAACAGCCGTTCAAAACAACCTAAGAGTCACAGAGACAGCAGGGGAAATGGAAAAAACAGTGCTAAAAGTGGCACCCCTTCACCAAAACCCAACCAGCCACCAGCCCAACGGTCTACACTGCAGGAGACATGGGGAATAATATAAACAACATGGCAGCCATGGAGACCCCCCCCCACATTGACCCCCCAGGCACGCAGAAAGTCACTGTAGATCCAACCAGCGGCACTCTGGGCCTCCATCAGCACCATGCAGCATAACACCCTCAGCCGGTGTCACGTAAGGACACAGACAGGGGGTGACAGGACTGACCGGTGACAAAAAAAACCCAGGATGAGAGGAAAAAAATAAGAAGAGAAGATGGGAGAGAGAAAGAGAGTGAGAGATAGAGTGAGGAGAGAGAAGAGTAGAGTTCCACTCACCTGCCTTAGTGCCTCCTGTGAGGTGTTCTGCCCAGACTGAGAAAAGGAGAGGAAGCTTCAGGCTTTTGGTCCTGCTTCTTCACTCTCTCTCTCTCTCTCTCTGTCTCTCTCTCTCTCTCTCTCCTTCCTAAGTCCCACCTTCTATCTCTTTCTCACTCCCCAATTTCTTCCTTCAGTCTCTCTCTCTTTTCTTTTTCTGTTTCTCTCTCCCTCCCTCCCTTCTTCCCTTCTTTTGCCCTCCCTAACTGTTTTTTTTCTCCACCCCTTCTAACTTTTCTAGGCTTTATCCTTCAATGCATGCTATAGTATGTCTGTTGTAACACTGTTGCTATGGCAACACAGATGAAGAGGCAACAGAGCAAAACCCACATTTATTAAATTTAAGCAATGCAGCTTCACAGAAGTGGAGATTTATAGTCAGATATATATTAAGTCACAAGTGCAATGTGACTGTATTGAATGTAATTTTAGTGCTGAATGTTATTAGAATGTAATTATGATGACACCGTTTTGCATATACTATCTCAGGACAGGCTCCTGAGCAAGTCGCACTCATCTGCTTGTCTTTTTCCCCTTTATCAATCCATCATTTTCGCCACCACACAAACTCTATTACTTCGTTGCCCTACAGCCACCAAACAACATGTACTCACTAAGTGTAGGACTTCAAACTCTACTGCACAGCCATACTGACCCGCACTCCTCTATGTGTCATTTTTTCATCCCTCATTCCTCCTATAGACTTACATTCATTTTCGCCCAACCCCCAGCCCTGTTTTTTCCTTTGGCTGACAACTACCAAACTGCATGTGCTAACTCAGGGCAGGCCCCCCAGCTCTAATCCACAGTCATACTGACCCGCACTCTTCTAGGTGTTGTTTTTTCATCACACGTTCCTTTCATAGACTCCCATTCATTTTTACAACCTAACAAGACATGGACTTTCCTTTGACTGGCAGCATCAAAATGCATAGATTCACCCAGGGCAGGTCCTCTAGCTCTAATCCACAGTCATACTGACCCACACTGCCCTTGTTCGTCTCATAGACTGCCATTCATTTTCACCTACAAACAAGACATAGACTTTTCTTTTGACTGACAGCCACCAAACTACATGTCCTAACTCAGGGCATGTCCCCAAGCTCGAGTCTACAGCCACATTGACCCACATTCCTCTACGTGTTGTTTTTTCATCCCTTGTTCCTCACATAGACTCCCATTCATTTTTGACAACACATAGCTAACACTTGGCAACTCTCTACGAACAACTAAATAAAAACCCCATACACCATGGCAACTGCCTAGCAGCAATATAGCAACCACCTGGGATAATATAGTAACCGCCTAGCAACAACCTAGCAGGAAGTGGGAACCATTTAAGCTATGCAGCCTTTCTGCATTTCCTTCAGGAAATACATGTTTCTAGTTAGTTTTGAAGTAGTGCTTTGATATACAATTTAAAGGGCTCATATCATACAAACACAAGAAAACTTTCAAAACATATTATTCGCCCTCCAGTTCATACGGTCCACATATAAAAACTAAGCCAAACTAAACAGCACAATGTATTCTTTTTGTGATGTCACAAAAAAGAAATGCATTCAAAGGTGCAGTAACAAAAACAACCTGCTGGATTCTGAGATTAAAACACACACACACATTTTCTTCTTGGGTCATGGGGGGTGAGATTGAAACAGAGACTGGAAAATATCATGTAAAAACGAATGAGGACCATTTTTGGTGCATCAGGCAAAGATCATAAGTGGACCTCAGGGGGAAAAAATACATTTTATTGATCAAATGTTGTCATAAGATTTCTTGGCAATTCTCCTAAAATTTCTTCAGAGAAACAGCATTAGAGAGAGGAGAGATAAAGGAGAGATGAGAGGTTAGTCGCTGATACACATGAGCACTATTATCTTCAAATCTGAGCACAGTATGTGATTTTATTTAGATCTCTACACTGTAAAAAATGAGAATTCTGCTCAACTTAAAATGAACTCGTGTCCTCAAGTTGAGTCAACTCAAGAAAAGCCATGTAATCAATTACTATGTTATTCTGAGTTGAGCTGACCTCTCATTTTCACAGTGTACTCAAACTCAAAATGTGAGATTTTTGATCAGATTGATTAATCTGAGAAACATCTGAGCAGCAGGAGAGACTTCAGCTAAAGTCTCCTTTGTCTCTCCATCTGATCTCACTGTTGTCTTGGAGGAACTACAGCGATATATATATATTTTTTAGATTTTTCTTGAATCTGGCGTGCAAGAAAGATGATATGATACAGGCCCTTTAACTTCTTTTCATGGGTTTGTACCTTTGTGAATGTTGGCTAAGCTCATCTGTGTCAGTGTCTCTGATCCCTGAAAGTGACTCTTCTGTCCCTAAAAATCTGCTCAGAGATAATCCGATCCAGAGGCACATGATGGTGGTTCTGGAACACGTGAAAGAGAGAGAGTTACACAAGGCTGAGTGTTTGTATATCAGTAAAAAACAACAGTCTCTCTCTCTTTTTCTCTCTCTCTCTCTCCCTCTTTCTCTCCCTGCTATAATTACACAGCGGCTCTAATCCGCACCCTCAATTAGTGGTGTTGTGAAGAAAGTGTGCACTGCAGGCTCTTCAGCTACAGGACTGCCTGTTTCAGTTTGGGCTGCACAACAAAACCTCACCTCTCTCTCTCTCCCTCCATCTCTCTCTCTCTCTCTCTCTCTCTCTCTCTCTCTCCCTCCATCCCTCTTTCTCTCTCTCCCTCCATCTCTCTTTCTCTCTCTCTCTCTCCATCTTTCTCTCTCTCTCTCTCTCCATCTCTTTCTCTCTCTCCCTCCATCTCTCTCTCTCTCTCTCTCCATCTCTCTCTCTCCATCTCTCTCTTTCTCTGTCTCCATCTCTCTCTCTCTCTCCATCTCTCTCTCGCTCTCTATCTCTCCATCTCTCCCTTCTTTCTTTCTGTTCTTTCTCTTACACTATTCTCCCTCCCTTTCTCTCCACCACCCTCTCTCTCACTTTCTTTACCTTTTCAGACTTCTCTCCTTATTCTCTCCCTTCTTTCTTTCTTTCTTTCTTACACACTTTACTTCCATTTTCACACTTCTTTTTCTCCTCACTCTCTTCTTTTATTTTTTTCTTTCTTTTTCTCTCACACACTTCTACTTTTTCACACTTCACTTTCTCTCCTCACTACTTTTTGCTTTTTTCTTCCCCTCCCTTATTCTTTCTCCCCCCGTCCTTTTGTTTTCTTACTACCTTCTGTCTTTCTATATTCTCTCCTCCTTTCCTCTCCTCTCCTCTCCCTTCTCATTCCCTCCCACTTTCTTTTTCTTTTCTTTTCTTCCTTTCTGTCTTTCTCTTTCTCTCTCAGTCTGTCTTTTTTAACGTCTTCATAACTGTGTGTAAATGTAATTTACAGTCTCCACCACAGACTCAGCGCAGTTATCTGCGTATAACCTGGATTAACTCAGGAAACAGTGACGCAGCCTCACTAATTACATCAAAATGAGTCACTGTTTTTTTTAAGTATATGTAAGAAATTCACACGAGCTTTTACAGGAACATTTACAGGGTCTGTTAAAGCTTAAGAAGACTCTCTCCTCACTCGCTTGTTCCCCTGTCTCTGTATGCAAAAGTTTGGGCACCCCTGTTCAAATGACACATTTTGTTGATTTTTTAAGTGCAAATAAGTGAAAACATCTGGAGAGCACAGAGAGCACACTTAAATATGAGATTTCTCTGTTAATTATACTGTACAGTTACTGTTTACTCACTGAATTTAACTTCTGAAAACAATGAAACATAAAATATAATAATGTACTAAAACATCTTAGGTTTTATTTTCCCCCAATATGTTAAATTCAGCAAATAAACAAATGAACCATGTATTAAAATTTGCAGAAAAACATATAATTTGATCAGGTGCCCAAACTTTTACATAGAGGTGCGTATTCTGATTCCCTCAATCTACAATGATAAAATTATCTAAATCTAAAATTATTATATTTAGCATATTTCAAGTACTTCTGTTGAGTTTTCAGGGATTTCTAATAATAACTATAAAACTTTCATTGATACTAAACTACTTTTCTGCCAGCTCCATTTTAGTGCTTCACATTTAATTCTTATGTTTTAATTGATCTATTTGGGGGGTTTAATTTCAGTGTGTTGTGCTGATGTGGCTCTTGGACAGCTCTGAACTTTCACTTTGGGCCTTCAGCATGTTATTTGGGTCAAATAACAAATAACAAAAAGGGAAGAACAGACCCAAACAAACTGTAGACGTGCTAAGAAGCTCAACTGCAGTTCTATAAGTTACCCTATTAACTCTATTAATGAATTATTTTATTACAGTAACAACACTTTCAGTGCGGTTTATTAGGCTGCTCTATCCACCTCTGAATGAACTGAACTCTCATTTCAGCACAATCAGTAAACAAGTTAGATGTATACTGCATAATTTCCATAAACAAATATAAAATAACCTCACATCAGAGCAAAGAAACAGCGCCGCTCACATTCTTGCTTTTGTCTCCCTCCAGTGGCCGATAAACACAACTGCAGCCTCTCATCACCCACTTTATTTTAGTTTTTTTTTTCTTTAAAACAGTTGCAGGGGAGTTTAGAGGTCACTTTAACATGTGTGGATTTGTTTTACAGTGCTGTGTGACCACCATGTAAACGAGCTTTGAGCGGGTTCTTTTTGAAGCTGCGTGTTAGAAAAACACCAGCCACATGGAGGAGATCTGCATGGGTGGGAGAGGGAGCCGAACTCAATTAAGCAGACTGCTACAGCCATCAGACATCAGCATTTACGCAACCCTAAAATACGGTGCTGAGCTCATGGCTGTTGCTAAGACACAGGAGGTTCAGTGTAGAAATGTAGAATGTAATACCTTCATTACTGAAGAAAATCACGAAGCATAAATAAGCAGATTGACATCATCTAGTTTGCACGTTTTTCTTTTCATCAATAAATTATTGCATTAATTAAAAACACAAGCCAGAAAGAAAAAAATCTAACACAGGAAAAGTATTGTGATAGGTGGTGGACCCACATTTTTGTTGTGCTCCATTTCTTCGCACACCTGAGCCAGATCAGCAGCCACCTTGCTACCTGGTTCAGGTGTTTTTTTGCTGGATCAGTGGGGTCTCTGTGGTCTCAACTGATCCCC